TCAAAGCATAAATTAGCCATGTATTTATAATAATTATTTTATTATAAAAAAGAAGCTTAAAATTACTAAAATGGGATCAAGCATTAGTTAATTAAAGTTTGTTCAAGGAGTGGTTCCCTGGCCTCAGTATAATCACCTGAATCACTACACCCATAATATGGACGTCTTCTTTGATTATACTGTTTCTTCTTTTTGAAACCAGGAAAGCGTTCCTTTAATTGATAAACCTTTTGATACAACAGCAACACTCGATTGACTTTATTTGTCACTAGTAAGATGTGATAAGCAATGATCATCATGAATACTGCAATAATAGGATAATTTGCAATAGCAAAGAACATCACAAGTTGCTTTGGAGAAACATCAGTCAAATACATGAAATGTGAAACCAGAAACACAAAATTAAGAGCAAGGAGTATCATTAGATTCAGCCAATTTAGGATCTTGTATCTGAAAGGTGCTGATTTTGTTTGAAGATAAAGCAAAAGATGATAAATGAGAAGGAGAGAAAGGAACAATGGTACTCGTCCTTTGCTGGAAGTTTCAGACACATAAGTAAGCAGAACAAAGAGTTGATAAAATGCAAACCAATACCACTTGTTTCTTCTATAAGGAGCATGAATCGCTTCATAAAATGGACGAATATATTCCCTGAGTTTGTCAAATTTTAATAAAAAGTTCCCCAGCAACATTATGATGAAATATGGTATCAGGATCAATCCAGCTACAATTGATGTTACTACCATTAGCCATCTATGACTCTCACTATTGTATTCTATAAATCCATTGTTATACCATACAATTTTGGGTACATCAATACCTTCTATAAAAATTTCTGCAGAACTGAAGACATCAAGAACCGACTGAAGAAGTTTAGTGAATGAAAGATGAACAATAGTGACAAGAACTTGAATTGATGAATGAGAGAAACGATTTGAAATTTTAACTGAATAGCGACTCAGTATAATAAGGAGGCCAACAATCAGGAGTAGATAAACAGGGAAAAGTAAGCTTAATCCAGCTTTCAATATCTCAGTCATTCCATTATAGAAACAAAGTGGAAAGCCAAGGTTTAGGTTTAGCCATGATATGAATACACTTACAAATTTTATAGGATACATTACTTTATCGGTACATTCATTACATGGTATATCTAAGTAATGCACAATACCAATATTAGCAATTTGTGCATAAAATATAATACCATTGAGTGTACCAGTTGTCAGAGTTAGGTTGAGGGTGTACAGAAGCAAAACAAGAAGAGGGCCAGCTATTATATAGAGAAGAATTGTGAATGGCCAAAAACTACTTGAGCAGTCCTTGCACTCAGTAGAACCAAACACTACACTGTATTTAGGAATACATTCACCACATGCATCTCCAGCTCTAGAGCCATAACACAGTGGTAGAGATATTGTTGAGTTGGTTGAGCCAAGATATGAACCCATTGAGTTAAGTTGTATCAAATCAAGCTCAGACCCAATGTTACAGTAAGAAGGATGACAGTAAGCAATTGAAAAGTTATTCCTTTTGGTTAAATTGCCCATCCAAACATTCAAATCACCAGGTTTAATAAATGTGTTATTTTCAATGTCACATGTTATTTGTCGATTAAATTTTGTTACAAGATCAGAGCACACACAACTTCCAGTTGCACTCAATTTAAAACCAAGAGGACAACTTTTCAGTTTGACTCTCACTTCAACAATTGTGTTTTGTTGTGAAATACTAAGCAGAAGCAAAGACTCATTATTCAGTGTTGTAACATCAGTTGTATGTATTGTTAAATTTACTGTTGTGCAGTTCTTTTTTCCTTTAATAATAAATGATCCTTGATAGTCTGAAAACCACCAGTTTAATTTCTTAAAAAAGTTTACCTTTTCTACAGGAATCACTGTTAAAATTCCATATGTCAAGCTACCATTCAGATCAACAACATTTAATGGTATATGTATTGACCCCCCTGGGTAAATTTCATGCAGGTCATCTTTATTCATACAACGGTGCATTGATTTAGCATTAGAAGCTATGTCACTTGGAAAAATATTTTTAAATATTGCATGGTACATTTTGACTAATGTACCATGATGAAGTTTTACAGAATCCTTATTGTAACAATCAAAGAGGTTTGTTGAATATACAGAGTTCCCTGCTAGTGCAGCTGTGTTGTTACTGAAAGTTAAACTGATGTTTTTATCATCTTCATTGAAATACAACTGAAATGTACATTTTGCTTCTTTATTAAGATCATTCACTGAATAAATGGCTCCTCCAAGAGACTGAACTGTGTTACTAGTAAAATGAGCTTTTAGTCCTTTCTTGAGAAAAATTACACTATCTTCGATGAGCAGAAATCCTGCACCATGGTTAGCAATATTTGCATTAAATAGGAGATGTCCTTCAAGCACTGCATATGATCTCAGCAATTCAAATACAGCACCATAGTTGTGTGAAAAGTTGCCAGGCTTAGCCACACTTCCATTAATAAAAACATCAATAATATTATCAAAGTGAAATATGCTCGCTGGATTGAAATTACTAAATAACCCCTTCACAGTCAGATTTGGATTGCTGTAAGCAACTATTGAGTCAAAGAAAATAGTGAAATAGTTACTACTTTTATTAGGAAAAGTATTTGAAACAGCATACAAGCATGTTCCAGATTTTGGAGAAGTGTTATGTTCAAATTTAAGATAGTGAAATAAGATAGCAACAACACCTTTTGGTTCAGAGCCATCAATATGCTTCAATGCTATTACTGCTATTGCTCCTGAAGTCCATATTGTACCATCACCGAATCCGTTGCTTTTAAAGTTTGAATTGGTAATTACTAATGGATTGTATCTCTTTGTTAACATTCTTCTGTCAAAAAAGAATGATGCAGATATTGCACCTCCTTTACATGAATACTGTACAAAATTGTGTTCAAAATAAGAGCCATCAATTATTGTTTTTGAATTAATAGATGAATTGGAACTAAGAATCAACATTGCTCCAGCATAATATTCATTGTTGAAAGTAAAACTGTTATTTAGAATCCTGACAATAGCAGGAGCAGTGTCATTTTGTGTGAATAGTATTGTAACAGCTGCAGCATTGACAACAGGCATATTTGACAGCCTACGATACATCATTCCAGCACAATGATTACGAATACGATGATGGTGTGTTTGAATGGTATTTTCATGAAAAATCGAATTAGAAAGATTTACTTGATATTGAGTTTGATCATTTGTGGTTTCTCTTGCAATACGATTGAAAAAAAGTAGTAATAATCCACTACCAATTCCAAATTGGGTTTGTTGTGAGTAACTGACCTCAAGGTAATCAAACACAGCATAAGGAAGATTAACTGCTACTATCGCAAAACCACTGTACTTCATGATAGTGACATTGCTAACAGTAATACTAGCAATATCAGTCAATACTAGTACAGCAGCATGATACTTAGTAAAATAAATGGAAGAAGTGGTAGAATTAATGATGTTACTATGTAATGTAGTGAGATTAGTACCACAGTTAGTGAAATGGAGTCCTCTCATTGTTAGTGATCCATTGGTGCTATAGAATGCAAACCCTCTTGTCCAGTACTTGTCACTAGGTGTACAACTAATAACAGCAAATGAATCATTGGAGTCACTTGTAATAGTGAGAGAATAGTGATTCATATTAATTGGACAGAAAACACCATTAGACGTGATCTGGTGAGTAATGCTGGTGTCAAGGTGAAGAAAAAGATTGTCAGTTAATATTTTAGTTTCATTACATAAAATTCCTTCCAGTTGATGGCTAGTGTTAACAAAGACAGCAGCAGGAACCAAAGGCAAAGCAAGAAGGAAGAGCATGAATCGATACATGTTTGTAGGTAGTATTTCAAAAAGATTGAACGAACTTGAAGTGAGAGCCACTGCTTAAACAGTAACAGAAAAACTGAAAGTAAAATTAACTGGTGAGACAATAGTTTTGGCAAACCATTTCACTGTTGACAAATCAATGGGTCCAAAATCCCTATCTAGCACATGCAATTGTGAATAGAGTGTTTCAACATCACCAATTAAGGAAAAAATGTTAGCTGTGAAGAGCAAAATCCTTATTGTTCAGCATTTATGTACAATATGAATGTACTTTTCTCTAAAAATCATTAATATTAAGTTTTTAACAGTTGGCTAAGAATGTGCTCCCTGTGACTGAAAGTGCTGTATAAAGTAATGAGAACATGGAAAAAGAAGCAATTCATCACTCCTTATTGATAAAAGACTGATAACGTGTAACCTAATCATCTTCATCCTCATCTTCCTTCATGTCTTCTTGTCTCTTTCATACCTTCACTGGTCCTTCAGATGCTGCATTAGGATGATATTGCAAGATGAAGATGGACTCTGCTTTAATGTCTGCACTACATTTCCCTATAATAAAGAGATAAAAGAGTTGTACTACTAAAAATGAAAGCTTCTAAAATGTATCAACAAAACAAAGGTGTGCCTGTTTCAAAAATTTACTTATTTTAGGATAAAATTGAATAGTAAGAGTCTACTATTAAAGAAAGTGTCTAAAATGTGTCAACAAAACATTAAAGGATGCCTATTTCAAATTTTCACTAATAATTCCCAAATCACAAACTTTATATAAATACATTCATTTCAAATAGTCAACAAAAAAGCATTTATTCCAAAACACAAATTAATGTGATAACAATTACTCACTTCTAGTAAATTCCAAAAGTAAATCTTTTCATCCTCTGACCCACTTAATCATCATGAGTATGCTCTGTATTGGAATGACCTTTGAACCTTTGACAGTAAAATAGGAAGAAAGACAAAACTAAATAATGCAAAAAGTGCGATGGGGTGAAGTCAGAGAGAGAGAGGAGGCTAATGTGTTAAGCAATTCTCCATTTTCCTTATCTAATAGTCTGACATGATTATCAAGTGATATTAGCATACCCAATTAGTATACAAAATAGAGGCAGTCAATCAAAACAAACTTATATGTATAAATATTCCAGAAAGGAGTGGTCACAATCAATAAAATGATTCAATAACCATACACAGAAGGGACTCAAAAATTTGTGCTCAATCAAAGCATAGATTAGCCATGTATTTCTATAATAATTATTTTATTATAAAAAAGAAGTTTAAAATTATTAAAATTGGATCAAGCATTAGTTAATTAAAGTTTGTTCAAGGAGTGGTTCCCTGGCCTCAGTATAATCCCCTGAATCACTGCACACATAATATGGACGCCTTCTTTGATTATACTGCCTCTTCTGTTTAAGACCAGGAAAACGTTCCATGACATTTTGATACAACAGCAACACTTGATTGACTTTATTAGTAACTAGTAAGATGTGATAAGCAATGATCAGCATGAATACTGCAATAATAGGATAATTTGCAATAGCAAAGAACATTACAAGTTGTTTTGGAGAACCATTAGTCAAATACAGATATTGTGAAACCAGAAACACAATATTAAGAGCAAGGAGTATCATTAGATTTAGCCAGTTGAGTATCTTGTATCTAAAAGGTGTTGATCTTGTATGAAGATAAAACAAAATGTGATAAATGAGAAGGAGAGAGAGGAACAGTGGTATTCGTCCTTTACTGAAAGTTTGAGACACATAAGTAAGCAGAACAAAGAGTTGATGCAGTGCAAACCAATACCACTTGTTTCTTCTATAAGGAGCATGAATCGCTTCATAAAATGGACGAATATATTCCCTGAACTTGTCAAATTTCAATAAAAAGTTCCCCAGCAACATTATGATAAAATATGGTATCAAAATCAATCCAGCTACGATTGATGTTATTACCAATAACCATTTATGACTCTCACTGCTGTATGCTATGGTTCCATTGTTATACCATATTGTTTTGGGCACATCAACACCTTCTGTGTAAAATTGTGCTGAGCTGAAGACATCAAGAACTGACTGAAGAAGTTTTGTGAATGAAAGATGAACAATAGTGACAAGTACTTGAATTGACGAACGAGAGAAATGATTCGATATTGTAACTGAATAGCGGCTCAGTATAATAAGGAGGCCAACAATAAGGATAAGGTAAACAGGAAATAGCAAGCTTAGTCCAGCTTTCAATATCTCAGTCATTCCATTATAGAAACAAAGTGGAAAACCAAGGTTTAGGTTTAGCCATGATATGAATACACTTGCAGGTCTAATAAGATATACTAATTCCTTGGCACATTCAATGCATGGTATATTGAAGTAATGGACAATACCAATATTAGCAATTTGTGCATAGAATATAATACCATTGAGTGTACCAGTTGTTAGAGTTAGTTTGAGGGTATGCAGAAGCAAAACAAGAAGAGGACCAGCTATTATATAGAGAATAATTGTGAATGGCCAAAAAATACTAGAGCAGTCCTTGCACTCAGTAGAACCAAACACTACACTGTAATTAGGAATACATTCACCACATGCATCTCCAGTTCTAGAGCCATAACATAGTGGTAGAGATATTGTTGAGTTGGCAGTTGAACCAAGATATGACCTGATGAGTAAGTTGTAGCACATTAAGTTGAGACCCAATGTTACAGTATGAAGGATGG